AAAACTGCTGTTCACCTAGTCACAGCCCGTTTTTTCCCTTCCGACCTATTAACAGAACCCCAATTTTTAGCTGGACACATCGAAATCCACAATAAAGAATATATTTCCCAGCTGTCTCTAGTGTCCAAAATGACCATAAGACAAGTTTTTTGGACCACTGAAATATAACTGGGAAGCTTTGTGGAAATATAACTGCGACTCTCAAAATGTTTCTGAGGCTAATAGATGCATCCCATTGTCTCTTCCAGCCTCCTGCCTCATCCCGGCACCCAACAATGATGTCTATAGTATGTTAGATTATGGGGGTGATTCTTTGCTCCATCTTCTAATAGAATTAGAAAATCCACAGTCTTCCACTACTGTGACATAACACCCAAGCTAACCATGACCAAAATTTAAAGATCTTTTTATTACTTTAAATTATGAGTACAAGTGTGTGGGTGGGTATGTACACATGAGTGTAGGTGCCCACAGAGTTCAGCAGAGGGCGTCAGATGCCCTAGAGCTCAAGTTATAAGCATTTGTGAGCCATATCATGTGGTGTTGGGAACCAAATTGAAGTCCTCTACAGGAGAAGCAAGCACTCTTAACCACTGAGCCGTCTCTCTAGCTCCCTGAGTTAACCACTTGAAATGGAGGGAATACTTGGCTTGCCTCACAGTCTCAGAGGTTTCAAATCATGCTTGCTTGGCCCTGGGGGGTGGCATGTATGTCATGACAAGAACACAAGGAAGAAAAGCTCTATTTCTATCATGATAGGCAGGAAGCAAAGACAAGAAGGTGTGGGGCCCCAGTATCCCTTCAAGGATGTGATGCCCATGACCTAACTTCCTCCTACCAATTACCACACCCAAGTGGTCCCCCCACCTCCTAATAGCACCACAGACTAGAGAACAAGCCTTCAACTCCTAGACTTTTGAGGGAAATCCCAGATCCAAATGATAACAACATCCCTTGTCCTTCAAACTACAGCATTTCTCTGCATCTTGTCTTTAATTGTGGCCGTCTTATTTACATGGCCAATGGGATGCTATTGGATGTGGACCCTCCAGGATTCACTCCCTAGGATCTGCTCCTACCAATAGTTGAGTAGCTACTGCCCAAGGAGAATGTAGAGAAAGATGAACCAGACCTCATTGTTAGCTGGCAGCTAACATTTGACATGATATGGGACTCCACAAGGGACTGTAGACCCAGAAGTGACACCGATGGACAAATGCCTATAGTCATAAACAACTAAGTTCTGAGCTACTTTGTCCCTGAAGATCATTTCAGCAAAAGCTAGCTAATATGATGGACAATGATGGCTGAAGCTCCAGCAGCCTTCTTGAATTATATGGTAGCCTTAAAGTTTTAAGACAAGCCCGAAAAAATTACAGAGCAATAAAACAGAGGCCCAAGTCCCTTGTGACATAACAAAGCTATGTCAACTTTAAATTTCCCTTTTAAGAGAGAAGACATCTTGTCTGTTTAAGCCACTACAGTCTTATTACCTGAGAAATGGTATTTGTGTCAATACTTAAAGAAAAGAATTTCTTTTCGCACAAAGAGAAACACTGAATACAGACATAGGCAGTCATTTAAATGCAAACTAGAGGTCTAGGAAGGAACACCATGCTCATGGTGAGCCACTGAACTAGAAATTATTTAGTGTAGCTCAAGGGAGTGGAACAGTAACCGTGGAACCTAGCCAAGGCATAGGACTACTTTGGTCATAAGTGAGGAAAACTCACTCACAGAGCCAAATTAGATGGAAGAGTCAAAGGCATTGTGAAGGTGTCTAAGGAAAGTCCAAGGGGTGGAGAGAAAGGTCAGTGGTTAGAGCACTTGCCACTCAGGCTGAGGGCTGGAGTTTGGATCTCCAGAACCTCCCTAAGTGCCAGGCTAGTACAGCGCTTCAGAGACAGAGACAGGGGACCCCCAGAGCAGCTAGATAACAAGACTAGCCATATTGTCATTGTTGAGCTAAGTTCTAGGTTCAAGAGACTCCACCCCCAATGAATAATATGAAAGAGTGATCAAGAATGATTTCCTAATCAACATCCAGTCTCTACATGCATTTGAAGCCTCTCCCCCCCCATACACACATATGCCAACACATACACACACACACACACAAGAAAGTAAAAGTAAATCTCCAAATCATTCAAAAGCAGCATGGTGGGACTCCATGGCCTTACTCTGAAATGCCCCTCACAATTGCCATGTTTCAGGATCCACCTTCTCCAAGGAAAGAATACACTCACCGCAGCTCATTTATTCTAACTAGCCAGACTCTGGCTCACCTCCTTTAGAACAGAGAGATTCCTCTCCGTCCAAAACATCCGTAGAAGAGTGGGAAAGAAGAGAGGAATAAAGGAGTGACCATCATACTGAAATTCTGGGGCACTTTAAGACCTGAGAGGAAGTTACATAAGTGAGAAAATCAATAATCAGATCCAGGACACACCCGTAGACTTTGCTGAGGAAGAACCTGGAAATGTGTCCAGGAAGGCTGCCCTGACTGGGATGCCACTGTGTGTTTAAGGGTGACTTGGAAGAGAGATTTTGATGGAGATCATGAAATCTCTGAGAGAAACTTCCCTATTTTTCCCAGAATCACATGGGGGGAGGGCCTAGGTCACAGTCTCTGTGAGCCCCTATGAGCCCGGGTTAGTTTATCTCATGAGCCTGCCTGTGGTGTCCTTGACCCACCCCTCTGGCTCCTACACTCCTTTCTCCTCCTCTTCCTTCAGGATTCCTGAACTCCACCTAAATGTTTGGCTGTGGGTCTCTGCATCTGCCTCTCTGATAATAATTGGGTCAGGCACCGATCTGGTCACGGGAAACAGCCAGTTCAGACTACTTATCCACTATTGCTAAGAGTCTAAGCTGGGATCTTCCCCATTGACTCCTGGGAGATTCCCCTGTGCCAGGCTTCCACCTGACCCAGAAACGCGCCCCCCAGCAGTCTCCCTCAGCATTCTCCTCCTCTGTTTCACCCCCATTCTGATTGCTCATGTTCCCATCCCCACCTCAAAATCTCTTCTGTTTCCCCTTCCCAGGGAGTTCTGGGATTGTAGCATAGTTATACTTTATTTTACAGCTCATATCCACTTATGAGTGTGTACATACCATGTTTGTCTTTCTGGGTCTGGGTTACCTCACTCAGGATGATTTTTTTCTAGTTCTATCCATTTGCTTTCAAATTTCCCGGTGTCCTTGTTTTTAACAGCGAGTAACACTCCACTGTGTAAATGTACCACATTTTCTTTATCTATTCCTCAGTATAGGGATATCTAGGTTGTTTCCAGGTTCTGGTTATTACAAATAAAGCTGCTATGAACATAGTTGAGCAAGTGTCCTTGTAGTATGCTTGAGCATCCTTTGTGTATATGCCCAAGAGTAAGTAGGTTGATTCCCAGGGGCTAGAAAATTCTTATATGCCTCCTTCCCCACAACTACCATCAACCTCTCCTCCCCAGGCAAACATCTTGAGATCTCTCTCTCTCTCTCTCTCTCTCTCTCTCTCTCTCTCTCTCTCTCTCTGCCTGAAACAAGGACTCATGCATATATCCCAGTCTGGCCTCAAACTCCCCATATAGCCATGGATTGCCGGTGGCCATGTCAGAGGAGCAGCAGATGGCAAATGAAGTTTGTGTGTCAGCCCACCAGGAGGAAAATCCCTGATGGCTGAATCTCAGATCGGAAAGACCCCGAGACCATAGACTCCAGGATGCCTTTTGCCTCTGCTGTGCCTTCACGTGTTTGCTGCTGCTGTCTTTCTCTGGTGTCTGGCATGGTGTGCATGGGTGTGGGGGGTTCCCCACTGCCTGTAATGTAGTGTGTTTATCTCATGGAAACATCCCATTCTATGGGGCATTTTTACCTGTGGATTACTACGAAGATGATTTCTTTCTAAGCTGTACTGTCTAGTTGATAATAATAATGTTAGTTTAAATAGATTTTTGAAGATAAAAAGTATAACAAGGAAGTGTCACACAGCTGGAACACATGAGTTTCTACTGAGGAGCCATACAGACTGTGGCTTAGGTTAATTATTAAGGAAAACAACTGAGTTCCAGTAGCCCAGCTAGCTTAAATTCTTTTCATCTTAATGTTGGTAGATGTGTTCACAGTTTTCAGAGTGCATCATAGGTGAAACAAAGCCTTAGAATAACTTCAAGTTAGGTCAGATGTTTTGATAATAGCTTTGAGATAAAAAAAAAAAAACCCTAGACAACAATCTAAAGTTTACAAGGACACATAGCTGAGTTAGAGATTCATTAGATTAGGGTTAAAAATACAAAGCAGCCCAATTGTTACTAGCTGATGTACTTTCCTTACTAGGGTTGGTTGATGATCAAAGATGATGATTAATCCTTATACCCATTTCTTCCCTCAATCTCCTGATATAAAAAACTATTAATGAGTGGATATTCACCCTAAAGATTTAAAGTAGACCTGACTCTTTTTCATGTAAAAGTTTAGAGTTGTGGTTCTTTTAAGATTTCTTATAAGATTACCTTTTGAGATAAGTAAAGAAGTGATTGGTCCTTTCTTTGTAACTGAGAAACACAACTTGCCAGTAAAAGACCTCACTGAGAAAAATATCTTGCTTGCCTACATGGTTAATCTATAACAAGTTGCTTGGGTATGGATGTACAAGGGTTTGTAGGGATAATTTGTTTTTCATCTGTAACACATAAAATGTTTAATCATGTAATAGATATGGATAACATGCTGTTTTTTACTTATATTCATTGTAATCATTCACTTGAAAAATAGAATGTAACCACATTGTAATTTTTATATTGCTTGAAAGATTTTGCTGAGGTATATAAGATGTAAGGGCAAAATAGAGAGAAGGAAAACATCAAGAATGAGAGAACTAGGAGGAAAACATCACGTTAGAATGAAAACACCAAGAAAGACAGAAGGGACATTTCTGGATAGAGATAAGAAAAGAGAATTTAAAACACAGAATAGAGAATATAGAAAGAGAATGCAAAAGAAGAATAAAGAAAAGGTCTGAAGGAAATCATTAAGAGAGTGTGTGAGTATCTTTTCCCCTAACCCCCTCAGATAAAAAAGTCATAGTACACTGCCAACTCCGTGGAATTCTTTGAGCCCTACACTGTTGGAAGCTGGTCCCCCAGGCAACAAAAATGGATGGCTTTGAACCTCTGATACTCCTGCCTCCACCTCCCAAGTACTTGGGATACAAGCATGCACTACATGGTACAGGAGGCTAGAGATATGACTCAGTTTATGCAGTGGTGGAAATGAAACCCAGGGCTTCCCACATGCTAGACAAGTGCTCAATCAACTCAGCTGCCTCAGCAGCCAGGCATCAGCCCAGGATCCTCCTCCTTCCCACTCACTCCTGTTATCTTCAGACTGGCTGGGATGGACTCTCTGTTCTGTCTCTCTGGGTTGCCCCGGGAAACCACTTCTGTCCCTGTTTTACTTCACCCCACAGCTCTGACCAGTCTCCTCTCATTCATAAAGCTCTCTTCTGTTCTCACCTTCTGAGACCTGTCAGTTTTGATCCCATCCATCTTAACCAAGCACAGTGGCTGAGACAGGATTTCTATAAGTTTGAAGCCAGACTAAGTTATAGGAGATCCTGTCCAAAAACTAAAGTAATAAACAAACAGGGCCTCAGTGGTTAAGAGCCTTTGCTGATCTTGCAGAGGACCCAGGTTATGTTCCCAGAACCCACATGATGACTCACAACTGTCCTTAACTCTAGTTCCAGGGGATCCAACACCCTATTTTGGCTCCTTGGGCATCAGGCACACACATACATAATAGGCAAGATGCAAAACATACATACACATAAAAGTAAAGCAATCTTTAAAAACAACAACAAATAAATTCATATCTTGGGTTATCTTCAGCCCCCTTCATGGTCATCCACTGTCCACCTCTGTGTCTGACCCAGAGTGCTTTTCATCATCAGACAAAACTGTTGGCATACATTAACTTAGCAGACCATAGCTTCCACCAACCCAAGAGTTAAGAATGTCGCCAGATGGCATCTGAAACCTGCAGCAGTCTCCTCTGCTTTGTGGTGACCGCCCACCTGATGTTCTTACTAATGTGTTTGGGAAATGCCTTGATTTATGACTTTCATCTGTGACTATAAAACTTTCATGTACCTGTTTTCCCATTGGCTCATGTCTATTGGGAGCAACATGAATCCGTGTCCCCAGGTCCTGGTCATTCATATTTGGTTCAGAAAAAAATTACCGTTTACTCCTTCTGAGGTGAAAGCAGTATTTTGAGTTGATGTTTCTGATCTAGAGGTTGCTAGATTTTTACCTCTTCCCTCATGAATCTGCTATTTTTCTTTAAAGAACAAACAGATAAATAAATCAAAAGGAAGACAATAACAAAAACAATACTGTGTGACTGGGTGAAATCACTAAGAGATCCTGGCATCATTTTCTTGTGCACAGTTGGATCTATTTTGCTACATCTAATTTTCTTCACAGTTTACATGTAGAACATTTGATTTGCCAATGTTTATAATCCATTTTCTTTACTTCACATAGCTGTAGAGATTCATGGAGAAATACAGGGGGAAAAAGCTCTCCCTTAAATAATCAGAGCCACCACTGGAAAATTCAGAGGCTTTACCAAGTTTACAGAGTTAGCATCCTCTTTTTAAAACATTGGGAGAATATTTTATTTTGAGCATAATGTCCAATTTAGAACCTATTGCTTTAAACCCAGACTAGATGGGACTGAGGCAGGAGGATGGAGAGATGGAGGATAGCCTGGACTATGCAGTGAGGTTGTCTCAAGAAAATTAACAGGACTGGGAGAAGGGTCAGTGGGTGAAGGTGCTCTCTGCACAGGCCTGGGGACCTGAGTTTATATCCCCTGAACACACATGAAGATCTGGATGTCAGGGCACACATCTATAATCCCAACACTGCTACTGTGAGATGGGAGACAGAGATAGGAGAATCACCTAGAAGTTCCTGGGCCTGCTATTCTGGAATCCACAGCATGGCAGAAACAAGAGAACCCCACCTCAAAAAAGGGGGGGGGAGAAAGAAAAGATGGATGTCAAGAACTGAATCCTGAAAGTTGTCTCTGCACACATTCTGTGGTCTGACCACACAGAAATAATCACACATACCTCATACACATATGCACATCACATCATACACACCACCACCACCACCAAAACCAAAGAACAAATGGATAAACAACAACAAAAACCTAGCAGCAGGTCGGACTTGGCTTTGAGGTGTAGGCAGTCTTCAGACCCGAAACCTAGCAGAGCAAGCCTCTTCAGCTACGTGACAGGCAGGAAAAGCTGTCCTCTCTCTCTTTATATTTGTGCAGCACACATAGCTTGGGAAGAACATGAAGAGTTTATCAAAAGCCAACTGAATCAAGGATAAATGTGTTAAGAGAGCTGGGGGGACTGTTAGCATTTGCAGCTCAGTGGATCTCATAGGTAGGGGTGAATTAGATACAAATGTCTTGTGTGTGTGTGTGTGTATGTCTGGTTTTGTATCCTACATACTTTATTATGGGATGTGGGACTGGCAGTCATTTTCTTGTGATCTTGTCACTTTTTGAGGATAGGCTTGGTAATTCAGTAGGATAAAATATATTATTGTACTAGTCCAGCTTTTTCAGGCTTACATCTAGTTTGTTTTTCAGCCACAATGTTCAACTGTAGGCAGTGTGTTTGTTTTTAGATGTGCAGACTAAGTTTCAAAAGTATGCCAGGAGCCTGAAATACCCAAAATCTTGCCATGAATCCATCACTACATGATAGAGACTTGAGACTGCTTCTACTTTCCTGTTGGCACTCCACGTCTCAATATTGGATAGCGGTTTTGAAAACTGCCTTTGTTTTTATTGCTATAATACAGTACTGTTGTAGCAAGTAGTGAT